CATCCAGCCTCTGTGGCTGGGTGTGCTCGGCTTGGCTGACTGCCTTCCAGCCCGGGGTAATCCCCTTGTGGATCTTTGGCATGGTTTTCTGGCCTGTCACGCCCACACTCGCCATGTGCGAATCTGAAGAACGCTCATCATCTTTGCTACCAGACAGTGGTCGTTCTCTCTGCCTCTGTCATGCTGCCTGTTTTGTCTATGACACCTATGACCCAAGTCCTGTGAGATTTGTTCCCACTGAGTCTCAGCTTTGACAGGTTCAGCTTCCGAAGTAAAAGCTTTTCAGGCAGCTGCCACTTTGAAAGCTAGGTTTGATAAGGTTAGGCCTTCAAGGCATACTGATTAACTGGATTTCTTTGAGTTGATCCGAATAGTGTTTAGGGATCTGGGATTGGAGATGTTGGTGCTCTCCGCCTGGACTAAGCCCGCATCTACTCTTCCTTCCCCTGTGGGTGTGGTTTACCCTGCTTTTGGTCCAACCCCTCCCCCACAGTTCTGACTCCAAAGCATCTGAGGGTTACAGAGACAGGGTAGTGTTCAGCTCTGGGTGTAGCTCCACCTTGCTCGGGAAGAGCCCCAGCCACATCACCAGCAGAGGCAGTTGAGTCTTCTGGTCAAACCAGGATTTTGGGGAAATTGTCTTCACTTCTGCCCCCCACCCATCATGTTCTGAGCCTTTGCCTTCAGAGGACACCTTTCTGTTCTGAGTGGTTTATCCACTGGGGAAAGTATGACTGAAGGCAGTCTTCTGGTTCCCCTGGGAAAAGTCTGTTTTGATGCTGATGGGACTATTGGGTGTGGCCCTTGGGCATTCTCCACTGCTCATGCTCAAGCTGTTCATCAATGCTTCAATTCTTGGCAGAGTTTGACTCCAGCGATCACCATGCTGATCAGTACCAATAGTCTCTGTCTGCAGTGGGCAAACATTATAGTTCATGAGCTGGCTGCAGATTGATTTGTGCTCTGGGGCATTGATCTGTTCAGGGGACCCTGCAATCAGGTTGCATTTTGACTACTCAATGGTATTTTGATAGTTAGGGCAGTCTCCACAGTTCCTTCTCGTATAATTGTGGACTCTTAATGTGGTCCAGCTTCTGGATTCTTGAGTTAAAGATTCGGTGCAAATCATGTCCGAGGCTTTTCATGTATTTACCTGATGGGCACTAACTCTGGTGGCTTCGATGAGGTCAGGAAGCTGGCAGCTTGTCAAAGTTCCCCTATTTGCCCTTTCCCATATGGGGTACTCATACCCCAAATGGGGTATGTTACCCCATTTCCTGATTACCAGGCATTCTCAGTAGTGTATGCTCTTTGCTTGGACTGAGGTTGTCATAATTTTTCTTTAACTCTTTTTTCCTGGTTCATCTTCTTCCCATTCAGGTCAATCTAGAGACATATGCTGCTAAGGTTATCCTTGTGGCTCCTTATTGGCTCAATAGTGGTTTTTGATTCTTTTAGCTCTTTGGGTGAACCTGTGCAACTTTTCATGGCTCTACTTCTTCCAGTGAAAAGGTGCAGTGACACACCGTGATGGTGAGACACTCCATTCATCTTTGCAAGTGGAGATTTCAAGTCTGGTTTATAACCGCCTTTATGGCATAGTGGCTAGTCTTATGTTGTCACAACTTTGGGTGTCCTCTCTGCTACAGTATGGGGTGCATTGGTGGCCTTTCTGCCTCTTATTATTTTGCTGCATTCCTTGGTCTCCATTCTTGTGTTTTTCTCTTTTTTTGTCATAGCTCTTCAGAACTGCCACATAATGCCACATTCTGTATGTCCTATCATTCAACCTTGGTTAGAGTCTTTTGGGGGCCAGAGAGCAAAAGACAAAAAATTTAATTAATGTAGGAAGAAGCCAAAGTCTCAAACATACCAGCAACAAAATAAGTGAGAGGAGCGGCACAAAAACTTTGGGAAAGGGATAGTGGGTAAATGTAAAACAGAACCCAGCCCATTCTATAAAATCATGAAAAACAAGTTGTAAGTAAAACACAAAATACAGAGATTAAGAATGGTAAACAAAGAGGATATCAGAAACAAATAAAACATATCAGGTAAAGTCTCACCTTGGGTTTTAACCACTGTACTGTGCACACAATGATATCATTGAAGAAGAGGGTGTGCACACCAGCATTACATGTTTGTTAGAATATCGTAAAATTCAAAACAAATACAGTACTGTACATAGTAGGTTGGGTACCAGATGGAGGCCTGAGGCTACCAGTGAGCATCCACCATTTTGTAAAAACTTCCCAGCATGCCCTACAGCAGCCAGTAGGCTCGGTTACGAGTGAACAACCATGGCCGATACATAGACATCTAGCTTTCAGTCACCAGTGGGTCACATGGTTGAAAAACCACTATCTGAAGATGAAATTCAAGACGTACTCTTTGAAGGGGACCATAACAGTGATGTTGATGACCCAAAGCCTGATAAAGACAAGTATCGAATACAAGTGATACTGACACTTAAGGTGAGGATATGGAGAGCGTACACGTCTCTCGCCAGCCCTGCAGCACCATTTGAGGTCAGCACCCCTGCCGCACTGTCTCAAGTCAGCACCCCTGCCATTATCACCACCACTTGTGCCATCTGCTGTTCCTACACAACATGATAATGTAGGAGATGAGTCTTTTTCTGGGTTCAGTGACTTTGGTTCTGATGCAAGTAGTATATATATAAACCAAGTGTTGTAGTTCTTGTGATGTTACTTGGCAAAGATTTGTCGTCTCAACAGCACGCCCTGCCAAGCTCCAGTGTTTCTCAAGCTATGAGGATACTGATGACATTGTGGTCTCCATTTCAACTTTTCGCAGTCAGCCTACTGAACAACGTAGAAGAGCACCTCCTGGCCAATAGTTTAATTTCAAGAAAATGGAGCCGTGCAGGTTGCGCCCATGGTGTTAGCGCTAGTAAAAGCACCACAGGTGTATTTGTGAGGAAAGTTTTCGACAATTTTATACCAGAAATACCCACATTTGGTGACACGTTACACCCACATTCCCATATATTGGTGATGATATGGATGAAAGTGAATATTTTTCACTGCTTATTTTGATGTGCCATACATGAAACATCTTATCGATGAAGTCAACTGCTAAACAGTGTATCTTATTGCATGAAGAGAATGAAAGACTCAATGACTGGCACGCCCTTCAAAGTGACATGGACAAAAGTAATTTAGTAACATATGGTAAATGGATTTCAATGTGGAAAAATGCCCCCATAATGAAATGAAATAAGGAAATTCCTAGACACATGCAACCTACAAGTTATGTGAAAAATATTAGAGAATGCAAAGAATGAGATCTAGGAGGGGTTCTGGATGGTAGATTGTCACCAGAGAACCATATCAAGGGCATTGTGAGTGGTGACTACACTACGCTTGCAAATTTGAGAATCTCTTTAAAATACATGGATAAAAAAATACTGAAGAAATTGTTAACGACATTTATGAAACTGAAATTTAAGTATGCAGGAGTTATGTGGAGTCTGTATTTCATAAAGCACATCAACAAACTAACATAAGTGCAAACACACATTACTAAGTGGCTTCCAGACCTTAAAAACAAGAGCTAGCTATGAGAAGAGACTTTAGGCATTAAACATGCCAAAGCTAGCAGATAGAAAGGGACAAGGCAATATGGTCACCATCTACAAATTTGTGACAAGAATCGACAAAGTTGACAAGGAGGAATTTTAAAATTTGCAACTTCTAGAACAAGAGGTCACAGACTCAAGCTAGGAAAACGAAAGTGCCAAGAAAAGTCTGAAAGTTCTCTTTTGTGAAAAAGAGTTATGAATAGTTGGAACAATTTCAAAGTGTCACATGGCAAAGATTATATGGAAGACGGGACACCACTAGCGTAGCCCTCATCCCGTAACTATAGCATACTTATTTAATCATAAAAGTGCCCATTTAAAACACATTCTCGATATTTACAGAATTAATTAGTTTAATGTACTGTATAATGTGAATCTAACTTAAAAATAATGTATTGCATAACTTTATTTGTGATATACTGTACGTATATATTTACCGAGTTCAAATTTTTTTTATAAAAAGTGAGGGATAATTTTTGTGGTCAGTATAAGTTCGCAAAAATAATATGAGCATAGATAGAACATTATTTGTCATTTCCCAAATTTTTCTCAGAAACAAAACCTAATTTTCCAAGGTAAAGCAATAAAATCAATAAAAATCTATTTAAACTAGCCCCAACAGTTCTTGTGGAGCCAAATTAAAATCAATTCTACTATTATTTTAATATTAAATTCCTTTTTGATTCTCTGATATTGCAATAATTGTTATTCTTCAATGACAATTAGCGTAATTAATTGTTGTTTAGGTTAATAGAAATCATGCAGAGGGAACACATTCATGTTTGCTGCAAGGCTACAGCACACTACGCATAAACTAAATAAAAATGCAGTATCCAAACTTTGTCCATCATTATACCCTACATGTTACTGTAGATTGCTTTTTCTTACAAATCTTGAAAACTTGTAAGGCATCCAACCTAAAAGCCTGTTATCTGCCATATTAGCTACTGTATTAATCTAATATTCTTGTGACTAGCTGATGATGCCAAAGCAAAACAATATTAACCATATTTGACAACATAAAACCTAAATGAGAACTTGTGCATCAGGAGTTTTATCAACTTGCCAATAAAGAAAAAAAAATTACATAATGGGGCTAGAAATCGAGACTTTTTCTATATTCTGTACGTTGATTAGTACAAAAAAATACTTTGTCTGATTGTTAATCATTTGAAAAATATTGTACTCGCAAATCAATATTTAAAATTGTACCAAGTGTATGGGGTGTGCAGACAATTGTCTTATTAAATTTATCTCCTGGTAATTAGAATATAATGTGGTTGTAAAACAGCTGTTAACGATTGCATGGAGTATGACATAATACATGCCTGAATGACCTAGGATGCTTCCTTTGTGCCCTGCAGAGGACTGGGCAGGAGCATTATAAATACTTTACCTGTGAAGAAACACAACTTCTACATCCACGTCCTCACGATCTTCGTGTAAAAAGTCTTTCAGGAAATGGCTGACAGACTCGTAGGTAATATGGCCACACACCACGATGTGTCTATTTTGCAGAAGAGGAAGGATTGAGGAAGGGAGAAAAATAATAAAAGATTATGAACAATTCTTGTCAAGATTGATATTTCTGATAGTAAATCCTCTAAGAGCTCACAAAATATCACAAACAAAAACTAGTTGATAGGTCTCGTGTAAATGTTAAAATAAGAAGACAACACACATCAGAAATATCAATTTTTTGTGTCATATTATATAAGGTATACTAATACATTAGAAACAAAATTCAGGAAAATATTCTAACATTGAAAAATGAGTACAGTATATCAAATAGTTTGAGAAGTGCAGCACATTCTAGATAACTGCATACAGTATTATGAAAACTTAATTTATCAAGTTACTCAAATGGCATTCAATTCAAGCAAAAATATTAAATTAGTACAAAAACTTTTTTTTTTACTTTATTTCCTGTTCTGATAACCATTACATTACTGTCACTCTTGACATGCAGTTATAACTGCTGTAATGTTAACCATGCGTCGAGATCATTTGTGTAGGAATGAAAGGTAATACTGTATATAGGTTGTGGCTTGGAGGAAGATGTACACAAGGTAGTGGCCTGCAAGAGGCAATCATAAAATAGTTGTAATCTAACCATGTGTGGTAGAACATCATCATCCAAGCCACATAAAGGCTATAGGCACCCAGCACACTGGGTATCACCAGCCAACTTCTCAACTACTGACACAATCTGCAATATTTGCTTCCACATCAAATAATGGGTACAGAGAAAGATTGAGGCATTAACATATTAGAGTACAGTAATGGCTGGTGGGGGTACTCAAGTGTGGTGAGGGATTGAGGCTGCAGGCAAATTATAGGCATACCAACTAGAGGTGGTTGCAGGCGAATTAGAGAGAAAGATATCCTTGAAAATTAATGTTGGTCAACGAGCCATAATATATAGTTGATATCGTGTTTTCTGTACTCACTTCTCTGGTAATCAAAAAACCATCAAATTTTATTTAACAGACTAGTGAATGTGGTATTTAAAACTTTAGAACAAAAATTTGTAGCCTGAGTTATATTATTCAGTGAGGTAATATATTATATCCAAATACTGTACATTTTTTTGTAATATATGTTACATATTTAGTCATAACTACACAGTATTTGAATTCCCAGGAGAATATATTTTTAGTAAGTAATATTTTTGTTGGAGGGGCCAAACATATATAAGGTCTCCATATACTTTCTGTGAAATATAAAAGCTTCTATACTTATACACTGTTTGGGAAAACAATGCTGTACTGTACATACTATTTTCAAGTAGTATTTGAAACAATGAACATTATTTAGTGGAATTTGACTGCATACAAGAGTTTATGTTATTACAGTGATTATTGCAACACTCTTCATAAAATAAAAACTATAAATCAAGTATTGTAGTTAAAAGCTTTTCTTCCTATATAACACCACCAAAGCCAACACAAACTTGCCATAGCATGTAACTGAGAAAGCCAATTTCCCACAGCCTCATCAGAAAAAATGATGATAATGTCCATCAACTGGTTGTCGTATAGTCTCAAGTTATCAAAGAGAACAAAAACACAACAACCGTTTGAGGATGATGAGGGGCATGGAACTAGTGCTAAAAGCCAGCGATTTAAACAGAAATCCATTATAAACAAATAACACTTCTGAAATACAAGAAAAATGACATTATATCTCAGAATTGTGGATATCGTAATATACTTCACACAATTTCCATCAAAAAGTAGAGGCATTATATCCCTGGGAGTTGTAGCACAGTCTTGCCCATCCTTGCTCTGTCATATGATGATTAGTATGATAAAGCAATGAACTCATAATATCAATGTCATAGCAAGAAGATATTGTTACCAGTGGTAATAACTGTTATTAATATGTAAAATTTTCAACATGCAAATTTGGAAAACGGCCCTCACTAAAGTTTCTAGCAATCGGCTCAGCATTCTTAACTTTCTAGAACATACACTACATGTATTAGAAAACAAAAATATTAGATATGAGAAAAAAAAAAGTAAAGAACATTGAGGAATAGCAATAAGATTATGACAATGAAAAAGTTAGGAATTAAAGTAAACAACTAAGTACAGGAAATAACCCGAGAAGTATCTCAAGTCCCAAGAACAACACCAAACGCACTACCCCGCTAAAGTCACCGATGAAAACATCTTTTCACATATAATAAAAGCATAATAATAATGAAGAGGCATTTAAGGTCAAATTCAACATGCTGTCTATCTCTTAGGTTCCCAATGCCAACTTCTAATCATTTTTTAAGGTAATTTAAGATGGCCACTAATGATGGTATTTCATCAACTGCAGAAGACAAAAATAAATATAAATAATTCACAAATGTACAAACACTCACACACGGGTGCGCACACACTTTTCTTTTTTTTTTTAGCTTTCTTTAAGTAAATGATAGAACATGTTTTTGTGCATACTGTATTTATACAAATAATTTATTTAAAATTTATTAAAAATTTATTTTTTTTACCTACCTTATTAAAGACCATTAATATTTTAGCTAGCAACAGATAGTAATTTTAACTAATTTATCAAACTTTTTGTAACTTCAGCCTATGAAAATAGTTTAATTAATATTTCAACCAAATCACTCTCCTGGATTTTTCTCTGTCAGAAATTGTCCAAATGTCAACACCAAACTCTGCTGCCACCATCCTGAAACCCAAGACATGAAAAGTTTTCTATACAAATTTACCCTTTACATCCACGTTAACCCCAAACATGTGGTGATCATCATTGGTTTACTCCTTAGCCAATGCAGACATCGTCATTTGCTGAGATTCGTCATTATTGTTCAATTTTTATACCAATGATGTAAATACAGTATGGTTATAACACATCTATATGAATGTAATTCTCTTAACTAAGCCATTAGAAAATTCTGCAACAATTTGTAATGGCTTACTTTGTGGTGAGGTTATCGTGTACTATAGAACTCTGGTTATTGTCAAGTAACAACTTGGTTTATCCCACCAGTGTTTGAATCAATGCCTGGATGAAATTTTCAGACAGAATAACAGCAAAATAACAAGTTTTACCTGAATTTACCCAAGCACCACAATCTCTCTAGTGGCCTCGAAGATAACAGGCACCTGGCTGCTTGTCAAAGATCCCACCATTTGTCTTGATGATTCTATCCAGTTGAATTTTGAATTATTACAATGTTTTTGCATTTACAGGTTCAGCGAGCAAGCATTTCCACAAGTTTATAAACCTGTGGGTGAAAATGCATCTCCTGTTTTCTGTCTTACACTGTGGCCTGTACTCAAACTGTACACTACACCTACATCTACACAGTGTACACCTACACTATGGCCTGTACCCAAAACAGATAGGGGCCTGACAGCTGAGTGGACAGCACTTCGCATTCGTAGTCCTGAGGTTCCGGGTTCGATCCCCGGTGGAGGCGGAAACAAATGGGCAGAGTTTTTCATGCTGATGCTCCTGTTCACCTAGCAGTAAATAGGTACCTGGGAGTTAGACAGCTACTATGGGCTGCTTCCTGGGGGAGTGTAACAAAAAAGGAGGCTTAGTCGAGGACCGGGGCACGGGGATGCTAAGCCCCGTAATCATCTCAAGATAACCTCAAGAAATGATGTAATCAGCACACCATAAAAAAAAAAAAAATAAAGTGGCTCAAGTTTGAAACCATTGCTCCTTGTATGTGTATAACTGACCTTTTAAAGAAGTGGTCTGGATCAATATCATCCAAATTGTTCAATATTTTAAGTGTTGATAAGCCCTGTCTTGTCTAGTTTGCAATGTTATTAGTCCTGTGGCCCTCAGCCATTCCTAATATGAGAGTCAACTTAGTTCTGGGATGATTTTTGTAGTTTGGTGTTGAACTTACTCCAAATAGATATGTCCTAAAGATGAGGTCTTCATGTTTGGATACAGTAGTTCATGTGAAAGTTTACCAGAGATTTGTAAAGTTGAATAACTACCGTCTTTTCCTTCAAGTCAAAGGTTTGTCTGACTATTCCTAGGGTTTGGGAAGCCTTCTGTAACTGTAATTCCCACTTGTTGAACAATGTTCAATGAATGGTGGATTCTGATACCATGGTCCTTTTCTTCATCAATCTCCTGCAAGGTAATGTTGATGATTTGGTAATTGTGATGTACATTATTATGGCCTACATGCAAGGTCTTGCATTTTTTGACATATAAAAAACATTTTCCGGTTTTCTGACCATTAGAAGAGTTCATGTAGATCTTTTTTGTAAGGCCTCATTATTATTTTCACTTCCTACTTTACCATAAATCTTATTGTCATCTACAAATTTGATGATCTGGGTTGTAATATTCTCATCTATGTCATTCACGTACATGACAAAAACCCAGAATTGAATGTCATGAAACACCAATTTCTGTAGGAGTGCTGGTGGCTCTCTGAAGCTTATCTTCCTGAGATCGTTTCATACCAAAAGGTCACATCATGCAGATACTTTTGTTTGGCCTAACAGGGACCCGCACCAGAACCTAGCACCATGTCTCAAGAGCTGCAGGGAGCAGGTGACACTCTGCCACCTCACCAGAAAAAGACTCCAGAAAGTCAGCGCAGCTTTATAGACAACTGGAAGCTTCACAGAAAATGAAGCCATGAAAAAAAACTAAACAACTTCCGCAAACGAGTCACATGAAATATGAGATTTACTCAAACGACCTCAATACTTGTTAGTACCAATTACAGTACCACCAACAAGCAGCCAAACTCAGGTTCTCAGATGGCTCCCCAAAGCAGTTCTGGACCTGATAAACAAACAAATGTATGACAAGGAGATGTGGAGGGTGGGAGGATGGCAGGGAGCAACTGGGGCTCCTTCAGAAATTGGCATTTCATTACATTCAATGCTGTGTTTCTGGAGGGAGCAACATGGGGCTAACCACAGGAAAGAAGATAAGGACTTACCAGGAAGGAGGAGAGGCATCAGGTACTTAAGATAAAGACAAGACATCAGGTTGGGAAACATGGAC